ATATTGTGCTACAAAGTATCAAATATAGTATTAGAAACAATATTTGTTCCTGTGTGCGTTTTACAGGCGATCTGATAGTGAGCGTGTGAGTGCTAAAGAAATACTGAAGATGAAAGACCATCTTATTGAACTTGAACGAAATGTAAGTATACCATATTCGTAGTTTTATTCTTTATGGGTAATTAAATAATATTACCACAGCGTGACCTCAAACACACGTTGTAATTTAGTAGGACGCTCGTACTAATAAAACTTAAATTTTCAACTCATCCTAATGGTGGGAATCATTGCTACTTTACATTTGATTGTGTTCCAACGTGCTTGGGTTTGCAAAAATTTGTATTCGTTTTAAATTACTGTAAGCCATCTGTAAATTGAAACTCAAGCATATTCTAGAAGTCCTCAAATATTTATTTCCACAAATTTAGACCATAAATTGTTTGTAATCAATAAAGCTTTAGGAATGACCTCAGTGTGTAACTTTAAGCAGCAGTATTTTTGTTGATAACCATGTGTGTGAAAAGCTGTTTACTCTACAAATATATTGCAACTGTCAACATATTTATGTCACCAGTCCTGTTGAGAATGTTAAGAAGAGTTGAAAATATATTCTTGTTTAAAAATGTTGCTGGGCTGCCTCCAGTGACTATCACGAACGATTGATTGCCAAATTGTCCAAAAATGTACAGTTTTTGAAATGTATATAAATCTTAACAGTACTAGTATAAAGTAGCAAGGTGATATTATATTATGGTATTTATTTTCATTTACTTGTTTATTTTACAGAACGCTTCTCTGCAGACTGAAACAAGCAGTCTTCGTAACCAGAATGACCACTTACAAGGACAGATCAGCACTCTACAATCTCAAAATACCTCTTTGCAGTCACAGGTGACAAAACTGCATACACAGAACTCTGATTTACAATCCCAGAAAGCTAACCTACAGGTGGAAAACACCACTTTGAACTCTGAAATCTCTTCTCTCAAATCTGAAGTCATATCCTTGAGGAATAAAAATGCTGACTTAGAAGCTGAATTGGAACGACTGCGAGCCAGGCTAGATGAGCTTGAAGGCAGACACAAAAACTTGATAAAAGATCAAGAACAGTTACAGCGACTTCATGATAATCTTACTCAAGAATATGAAGCTCTGATTTCTGAGCATGGTTCATTGAAATCAATCCACAAGTCCATGAAGGTGGAGTATGATTCGCTGAAATTAAAACAGGACACTGTGATCAAAGAAAGGAAAATGGTGAATGATGAAAGAGTTAGTCTGAAAGCCGAAAAACAGTTGTTACTGCAATCAGGAGCAGATCCTTCATCAATTCAGTTGGAATTCAATAGTTTGAAACAGATGCATGAAAGATTAAACAGAGAATATAAAGATATTGAACATGAGAATAGAAGTCTGAAGTCGGATACAAGGTGAGATTTTACGCTTATCATCATCAAGTAGATGATCATGTATGAAAAAACTGTCATTACATAAAACTATGGGATATGTATAAGTATACAAGTATAAGTGAAAATGCAAAGATGTAAAAGTTAAGGTGTTATTCACAGTGGTAACAACTTTAATGTTACACGTAAATATTACAGATTGGTGTGTTCATGTTAATAAAATAAACATTGTATTTGCAGACAACTTAGTCTTGAAAAAGCCTCTCTTCTGGGTGAAGTGACAGATTACAAACAACAATGTCAACAACTGGAGCTGGAAATTGCCAAAATCAGCAATAGAACTGAAGTAAGTGTTTCTTAGAAAGAACTTAGAGGGAGAGACATTCTTAGGTATTGAACATGATGAAAAATAAAAATGTTTTTAACAGCTGTGTACAAAATATCTTCTAAATCTTCAGGTGTATGTACCTTATTAAGTATACAAATCATATGTAAATTGATGAGTTTGATATGTTTCAATCTTGACAGATTTTGACAAGTGAATTATATATATTCACTGTCGAAATGTCAAGAACTTGTACAAAAATTATCATTTAATGTTTGTCAAAATAAAGAAGTATTTAACAAACTACTACTAAATGCTAATTTAGGCTTTATTTTTAGAACATTTAATTCTTTCTTGGCACATTAGTCACATTTTTGTTCGAAGACACTAATGGCTGTTCAAGAATACTATGTATTGTGCCAAGCATGAATAGGTAAACTCTGTTTCAACTGTGAGCTGTTGAAAAGTGTTGAATGATTTTTCAATGCTTAGTTTATAATTCCATTTTCTGTTTTGTTTTATCTGTAGACATTTCAACAGTTAAATGCAAAGTTGGAAGAAGAAAATGAACATTTGATGGAGCAAGTCACCAAATTACTTGATAAAAATGCTGAACTGCATAAGTTTACTATAGAGAGTAAAGATCAGTACCATGAAGAAGAAAAACAATTCTTGTAAGTTGTCTTTACTGGCTGCCTCGTATACATATTACACATCCCTAACCCAGTTGCTTAGTAATTAGACACTCCTGTAGCTCACACCAAGACTTGTACAGAACAGTCTGTTCCTAGGCTTGTACAAGACTGCTGACTTCTAAACTTTTATAGGACAGCCCGCTCCGAGATTTGTACAGGCTGGACAGCCGGCCAACCATTTACTGGTTTCCTTATGTTTTATACTTAAATTATTTTCCAGTGATAAGATAAATGATCTTAGAAGACAAAAAGAGAAATTGGAACAAAAGATAATGGAGCAATACAAAACCTATACATCACCACCCAGAAGGTAATAATTAGCTTCCTGACTGTCTTTTAATTTAAAGTGATGTGGGGTTGTTTCCATCACTGTCATCCTGTTTTTGTTCTAATTTATGTGTTTGCATATGTGTTGAGTATGGTGAATCCTATGTACCAGGTCATCATGGGATAACCTTGGGAAAGTTCATTCTTAGATAAGGTGAAGGCTCTGTGTTCATTTGAAAACTTGTAGATTTGTTAACCAATCAGATGACATTTTTATTAGATTATTCGTTAGATGTGGTTGGTAACACATGTCCTGATTACTATATCCAAAATATGTTAGCCACAGGTTGAGGTGTCAGAGTTCGTTGTACCTACATATTTTAATAAAATTGATTCATAGTTGATATTATCATATCTCATTCTTAAATTGTTTTTAATTTCAAGCCTTAATTATAGCTCAGCTGAGGATGAAAGGTTTGCTAGCCTTCTTACTGCCACTAACTCCCTCATATTTAACTTTATGTATCCCTTATGACACATGCCTTTTTATTTTTCTTCCTATATCTCCTCTGTCTCTTCTTGCGGTGTTTGTTTTCAGATTCTGTCATTTATTCTTGGTTATTTATTTGTTTTATAATGTGTGCAATATGTCAGTAGATAAGCATTATATCTGTATTACTACACACTTGTGTGACAATGGCAGTAGATGACCAATATATCTGTATTACAACACACTTATGTGACAATGTCAGTAGATGACCATTATATCTGTATTACAACACACTTGTGTGACAATGGCAGTAGATGACCATTATATCTGTATTACAACACACTTGTGTGACAATGGCAGTAGATGACCATTATATCTGTATTACAACACACTTGTGTGACAATGTCAGTAGATGACCATTATATCTGTATTACAACACACTTGTGTGACAATGTCAGTAGATGACCATTATATCTGTATTACAACACACTTGTGTGACAATGGCAGTAGATGACCATTATATCTGTATTGCAACACACTTGTGTGACAATGGCAGTAGATGACCATTATATCTGTATTACAACACACTTGTGTGTCAGATCAAAGACTTTCGTGGTTGTGTGCTGTTTTGTATGTTCACAATGTTGACATGCCTTACTGACAACCCCAATTTGTACTCTTGGATTGGATTGTATTGTATCGTATTTCTTCTATTCTAACATGGCTATGCGCCCTCGACAAATCAGATCGTCAGATTGAGAAAAGTTAGTTCGAACATGGCTTTGTCAGCTGATCTTGATTGACTGTACTGCGATAAAACAAAAATAAAATTGAATAGATTGTTGCAAATGACACTCCCTTTATACATGGTTTTGAAGTCACGAGCGCGAACCTATACTTAGAACACATTCACGACACAAACACTCAAATTACAGTATAAAATATTTTATTGGCATAAGTGACACTCACCATGTCCCACCTAAACTGCACTACACAAGAAACATCGCTTGCGAACATAACAATGGGCGATACACACTCTGCATGGTGACACGGTGAGCACTCAGACATGAAAACAGTAGAATGAACACAAAGAGAAATAAATATTTAACTGAAATAAAAGCATGTAAAACGACATTATTCAAAAAACTATACTAGCCCTCAAATGATATTGTTAGAATTAGTAAATGTAGGTAGAAGCAGTGTGACTGCAACTACAGGTAGAAGCAGTGTGACTGCAACTACAAGGTAGAAAAACAGCGTGACTGTAGCTCTACAAGAACAAGGATTAGTAGGTAGAGGTAGCTCTACAGGTAGAAACAGCGTGACTGCAACGACAAAGAAATCAGTTAGCTATGAGGTAGAAACAGCGAGCACTGTAACTACAATGATATGAACAATGAGATATGAACCAGTATTGAGGATTACAATGTTTATCTTGGGGGGAAAATTGCCCACCTAAAAGCAAAGCCGGTGGTGACTGGGGATGGTGAAAAGTTCAAGTGAATTTTAACTCTGAGAAAATCAAAACACTGGACTAAACAACTGAACTGTTCAAGATGGCTACAAACTAAAGACTGCGTCACACGAAGTCACGTGATAAACAGTTTAGATTCATGTCATAAACACTGTTTAATGCATACACAATAAACATGTATTTACGACCCAAACACTCAAGTTACAGTATAAAATATTTTATTGGCATAAGGGATGCTCACCGTGTCCCACCTAAGCTGCACTACACAAGAAAAAACAGCGAACATAACAATAGGCAATACACACTGCATGGTGACATGGTGAGCATCCAGACATGAAACAGT